CTAAGTGAAGCAGTAAAAAAGTTATAATTCTCTATTTATTGTGCATAATTTATCCATTAAACTTAAAATAGGTATGTATAGGAATTATAGGGTTTGCTAGTATCTGCAGTTTTGCTATCCACAGCAGGTCCTTGGAACATATGGGGGTCCTACTGTATGTATGGCAGTAGATAGCCTATCCTTACATTGGCATGAGGTGAGTGATATTTAATGTAAAATTAATAACACATTAGTTTTCTTACTGTTTTGCAACTTTACTTTCAAAGAATTACATTACAGCATAGTATGCCTCTCTCTTGTAATTGGAGAAACTGTGTATCACCCTATCATCACAGGAAAGTGGGTTTTTAAAAAATGTAACTAATGTTTCCAGTACTGCATTATAAATATGACTGTAATACTGTGTGTCATAAAATTTTTATAATGATTCTTGCATTATAGTCTAGGCTACTGTGAATCAGTCTTATCAGTTACACTAGGTTACCATAAAGCAGTCACATTGTTGCTGCTTTATCAATTCATGAATCGTTATACCTGTTATACCCGCCTGCCTTAATGGGAGATGACTGATGTGTTAAAAAAAATTAATTTTTGATGTCTAATGTTAGTATTACATATTACATCTACATTGTTTTGTATTATGTAAAACAATATTGATGCAGGTACTGACAGACGGGTGATGCAGTTTGTAAACAGATGACATAATTTTACGGTATCAATAAATTCAGTACAGTTCTGTAAATGTATTTTTTCCTCCTTATAATTTTCTTAACATTTTCTTTCCTCCAGCTTATTGTAAGAATACAGTATATAATACATATACAGAATGAGGGAACAAATTTATTTGTGCTTAGTTAATCTTAAGTTAATTTTAAGCCAGCCCGTAATGCTATGCATATAAGTGGCTTTGGCATGCTGCTCTTACCTGTATATTTTTGTACATCTGTATGTATGCTCAAATTACTAAATAAATAAATAAATATAAAAGAAGAGGAGAGTTATAAAATGGAGAGTTAGAGGTATCGGAAAGATGGAAGGAATGTTTTGAGGAATTGTTAAATGTTGATGAAGATAGGGAAGTTGTGATTTCGTACATAGGGCAAGGAGGGATAACATCTTGTAGGAGTGAGGAGCAGCAAGTTGTGAGTGTAGGGAAAGTTCGTGAGGCAGTGGGTAGAATGAAAGGGGGTAAAGCAACTGGGATTGATGGGATGAAGATAGTAATGTTAAAAGCAGTTGGGGATATAGTTTTGGAGTGGTTGGTGCTTTTATTTAATGTATGGAAGAGGGTAAGGTATCTAGGGATTGGCATGCATAGTTCCTTTGTATAAAGGCCAAGGGAACAAAAGAGAATGCAAAAGCTATAGGGGAATAAGTCTGTTGAGTATACCTGGTAAAGTGTATGGGTGAGTTATCATTGAAAGAATTAAGAGTAAGACGGAGAGTAGAACAGCAGATGAACAAGGAGGCTTTGGGAAGGGTAGAGGGTGTGTCCACCAAGTGTTTACAGTGAAACACATAGGTGAACAGTATCTACATAAGGATAAAGAGGTTTTTGTGGCATTTATGGATTTGGAAAAGGTGTATGACAGGATGGATAGGAGGGCAGTGTGGCAGATGTTGCAAATCTGTGGAATAGAAGGTAGGTTATTGAAAGCAGTGAAAAGCTTTCATGAGGATAGTGAGGCTCAGGTTAGAGTATGTAGGAGAGAGGGAGACTATTTCCCAGTAAAAGTAGGCCTTAGACAAGGATGTGTGATGTCACCATGGTTGTTCAATATATTTATAGATGAGGTTGTAAGAGAAATTAATGCTCCAGTGTTGGCAAGAGGTCTGGGGTTAAAAGATAAAGAATTTAACATAAAGTGGGAGTTGTCACAGTTGCTCTTTGCTGATGACACTGTGCTTTTGGGAGATTCTGGAGAGAAGTTGCAGGGATTGGTGGATGAGTTTGATAGGGTATATATAAGAAGAAAATTAACAGTGAATATAGGAAAGAGTAAGGTGATGAGGATAAAAAAAATTAGGTAACAGAAGACTGGGTATCAGATTGGAGGGAGAGAGTATGAAGGAGGTCAATGTATTTAGATGTTTGGGAGTGGACGTGTCAGCAGATGGATCTATGAAAGATGAGGTGAATCGTAGAATTGATGAGGTAAAAAAGGCGAGTTGTGCACTGAGGAATCTGTGGAGACAAAGAACTTTGTCCTTGGCAGCAAAGAGAGTAATGTATGAGAATATAGTTATACCAACACTCTTAGATGTTTTATAGGTGTGAAGCATGGGTGGTGAATGTAGCAACAAGGAGAAAGGAGCTTACAACGACGTTTTGTAAGCTCCTCTCTTCTATGTGCGGGTTATTTGTGTATCGTTCCAGTCACGGCATTGTGCCTTTTTTTGTTATTTAACAAGGAGAAGGCTGGAGGCAGTGGAGATGTCATGTCTGAGGGTGAAGTGTGATGTAATATAATGTAGAAAATTCGTAGCTTGGAAATCAGGAGATTCGGGATTACCAAAACTATTATCCAGAGGGCTGAGGAGGGGTTGTTGAGGTGGTTTGGACATGTAGAAAAGATGGAACAAAATAGAATAACTTGGAGAGTGTATAAATTTGTAGTGGAGGGAAGGTGGGGTAGAGGTCAGCCTAGGAAAGGTTGGAGGGAGGGGGTAAAAGAGGTTTTGTGTGCGAGGGGCATGAGTGTCTTAGATAGGAGCTAATGGAGACAAATAGTTTTTAGCACTTCATGTGCTGTTGGAGTGTGAGCTGGGTGATGTTTATGAAGAGATTCAGGGAAACCGGCAGGCCGGACTTGAGTTCTGGAGATGGGAAGTACAGTGCCCACACTCTGAAGGAGGGGTGTTAATGTTGCAGTTTTATAGCTGTGATGTAAGTGCACCTCTGGCAAGACAGTGATTGAGTGAATGATGGTGAAAGTTTTTATTTTTCATGCCACCTTACTTTAGTGGGAAATGGCTGATGTGTTAATAAAATAAAAATGAATAATATACAAAATATAAAATGTGTTAATCATCTGTTTGTTATCAGTAAGGCTTCTGGTCAACAGTATTAGTGGTTGTTTTTGGAAGTCAAAAGTTGTACACCGATTTTTGACTGAGCGGAGGGGGGTCAGTGCCCCTAACCCCCATATTGTTCAAGGATCAGTCATATTTAGTGGCAGCACATTTTCAGACAAAGTGGAAAACAAAAATTTGGTTATCCTTGTAAAAACCACAGTCTATAATGACACATGACTCAGTGGAACAGCCAATGGACATACATAATTGCCTTATAAACATTGAAAACTCTACACTAAATATTATCCTCCTTGGAGATTTCAGCCTTTCAGATGTTTAATGGAAATGATAGAGAACAGCATTGCCCCAGACATAATAACTGGAAGCACCTGAGCCTAACTTACATATACCAGAGTTGAAAAATTTTCTCTGAAAGAACAGATAACAGAGCCTACCAGAAATGAAAACATGCTAGACTTGATCTTCATTAACAGTGAGGAATTAACCCTTTGACTGTCGACGTCGTATATATATGTCTTACGAGGTACGGTGTTTGACGTATATATACTCATAAATTCTAGCGGCTTCAAATCAAGCAGGAGAAAACTGGTAGACCCACATGTGAGAGAATGGGTCTGTGTGGTCAGTGTGCACCATATAAAAAAAATCCTGGAGCACGCAGTGCATAATGAGAAAAAAAACACCGACCGTTTTTTTTTTAATTAAAATGCCGACTTTGTGGTCTATTTTCGTATAGTATTTATGGTTGTATTCTCGTTTTCTTGGTCTCATTTGATAGAATGGAAAACATATTATAGAAATAGAGGTGATTTTGATTGATTTTTCTATAAAAAGAACCTGGAAATGGAGCTCAAAGTAGGGGAAATGTTTGATTTTTGCCAATGTTCAAAAGTAAACAAACGATGTTATTATCCAATAAATGTTGAACTAGCCATTCTAATATGCAGTCGTGAATGGGTTGATGTTATTTATACAATTATTACAGTATTGCAGTAGTCTGCATAACAGTAAATCTTCTATTTTTTGTTTGAATAAAAATTCAAAATAGAAAGCAAGAGTAATATCAGAGGAGCTTGGAGACATGACTGATGAACAAAGAAAATGTTATTTTAGAGCCAGGAATGTCTGCATTGTTCATTCTGGACCGTATTTTGAAATTGTTATATTTTTTAATTTTCGTGAAATTGTCCAAATTGCCAATTTCTGACCACGTTATTGGGTAGTTGAAATCAGTAAATGTGCAGTTTCTTGTACTCAATCGATAGAAAAAATGGAGTTCTAAAGAAATAGTTACAAGTTTGGTCGACTGGAACAATGGAATTAGCCGAAAATAGGGGTCAAAGTGGGCGAAATCGCCGATTTGTAAATATCGCCGATGTCGCTAACTTCGCGAGAGCGTAATTCCGTCAGTTTTCCATCAAATTTTGTGTTTTTGGTGTCATAATAATTAGGAAAAGATTCTCTATCATTTCATTACACACCAATCATTTCATTATACACCAATCACAACCTTCTAAAAGTACAGCTTTATAAATGCACATATTGAGAGCCTAAGAAATAGCTGTTGTAGCCAGAAAAAAAAACATTCACTGTCATTCACTAAGTAGCTAACTTGCTGGAATTGCACACATCACAGTTCAAATGACCCTTCAAACTGCAACATCTCTACCCATCCTTCAGAGCAGAGCACAGGCACTAATCTGCACCTCCAAAACTCCAGTTATGTTAACTGGTTTTCCTGACTTCCTTCATAAATTTTACCTAGCTCTCATTAACAGCACAACTAATCCCAAAAATCACTAGTTTTCCACCGATCCAGCATACTTGCACATTCCTTCTGGATGTTCAAGCCACCACCACTCAAAACCATTATTCCTTTCATTTTCATAACAGTGTAGTAAAGGCATATGTAACTGTGGCAGCTGGTAGACATGTCACTTTAATTTAAACATTTCTTTTGGCAGCCAAAAACAAGAAAGTGGCACCACTTATGGCCAAGACCCGACAGTTCTTCAAGAAAGCTTTCCGCCGTTGAGACTCCATCTACATTACCAACAGGCACTCCAACTTTACTGATTCAGTCTCAAGGCTCTTCAGGTAGAATTGGTACCTTTAATTGTAAAGATCTAAAATCCAAGTTTAAAGCTAGTTCCCTCTGTATTTTTTTTTTTTTTTGTTTTGTTTTGTTTTAAAAACAAATGAACAAGGCAGCATATAAATCTTTATTTGCATATAAATCTTTATTTGAATATGAGGCAGATAAAGATGACCTTAACCCTTAAACTGTCCAAACGTAGATCTACGTTTTCAGCACTCTGAATACAGTGGACCCCTGCATAACGATCACCTCCGAATGCGACCAATTATGTAAGCGTATTTATGTAAGTGCGTTTGTAAGTGTATGTTTGGGGATCTGAAATGGACTAATCTATTTCACAATATTCCTTATGGGAACAAATTCGGTCAGTACTGGCACCTGAACATACTTCTGGAGTGAAAAAATATCGTTAACCGGGGGTCCACTGTACTTTGAAAATTAAAGAGGGCAATTTTCTGGGTGTAATAAGACAAAAAAAAAACAAAAAAACTTTAGGGTCAGTACTTGCAGAGATATAAGGCCGAGAAATTGGCGCTGGATGCTCACCTGACAGCAATGTGGAGTCCTGCCGCTTGCAGAAGTGTTGACGATGTACTTTTTTTTTTTTTTTTTTATATATAATTTTTATGTTCTGATAATACAGTTTATAGTAGTGCTTGTGATTTCATAGCCAGCCTTTGTTCTGACACTAATATTAGGTACTGAAATAGTACTTAAATAGTCACAGGCACTGACAGGTGAACATTTTTACCTGTCTTGATCACATACTATTTTCTACAAATATATACAAAGTATTTATGGGTCCCAGCAATGTTTTAGACATGCTGAGATATACATATATGAAACTCCTTGAAGCACAGTGTAAGATGAGTGTTGCTCTACTGCTGCACTGTCAGCAGTGGAGTGACAATCATCTTACATTTGATGATCGTGCACTGCTCCAGGGAACCTTGGCTTTATTTGTTTTCACTGTTACACACAAACATCTCTTGTCTATCTGTCTGTCTGCTTATCTGTCTTTGTCTGCCTGTGTGTCTGTCTTTCTGTCTGCCTGTGTGTCCCTGTCTTCCTGCCTCTGCTTGTCTCTGTCTCAGAGCTGCTCATGAGCCAGCAGGTATTGCACATGAAGCAGAGTCGTCATGTCTGATTCCTGATTGAGTGAAAATGCTTATTGCCAGTCATGCTTATTATGACTTAAATCTACAAGCACAGTAGGTAGTAGGTTGGTAGACAGCAACTGTCCTGGGAGGTACTACCGTCCTGCAAGTGATGTATAACGAATCTTGAATTTTTTACATATGTAGGATTGCTGGTGTCTTTTTTCTGTCTCTTAAGCATGCAAGATTTCAGGTACATCTTGCTACTTCTACTTACACTTTGGTCACACTACACATACATGTACAAGCATATATATACACACCCTGGGTTTTCTTTATTTCTTTCTAGTTCTGTTTTGTTTATTTCCTCTTATCTCATGGGGAAATGAACAGAATCTTCCTCTGTAAGCATGTTGTTGTAAGAGACACTAAAATGCGGAGCAAGGGCCTAGATAACCTTTCTCCTGAAATTACTAAATTTAAAAAGAGAAACTTTTGTTCTTCTTTTTTGGGCCCCCATGCCTTCGTGGGATACGGCCGGTTTGTTGAAAAAAAAATCTACAAGCACAATATAGCATTTTGTCTGAATTATCTGGGTTATCCAAGTAATTACACGTATGATACTGTATTTAGTGTACTGTGAGACAGAGATAGACAGAAATACAGAGATATACAGAGGTAAAGATACAGAGATAGAGATACAGAGATAGAGATACGGAGATAGATACGGAGATAGAGAGATACGGAGATAGAGAGATACGGAGATAGAGAGATACGGAGATAGAGAGATACGGAGATAGAGAGATACGGAGATAGAGAGATACGGAGATAGAGAGATACGGAGATAGAGAGATACGGAGACGGGCAGATGCGGAGACAGGCAGATACGGAGAGAGGGGCAGATACGGAGAGAGAGGCAGATACGGAGAGAGAGGCAGATACGGAGAGAGAGGCAGATACGGAGAGAGAGGCAGATACGGAAAGAGAGAGGCAGATACGGAGAGAGAGGCGACGGAAGAGAGGCGATACGGAGAGAGAGGCAGATACGAGAGAGAGAGGCAGATACGGAGAGAGAGGCAGATACGGAGAGAGAGGCGATACGGAGAGAGAGCAGATACGGAGAGAGAGGCAGATACGGAGAGAGAGGCAGATACGGAGAGAGAGGCAGGATACGGAGAGAGAGGCGATACGGAGAGAGAGGCGGATACGGAGAGAGAGGGGGATACGGAGAGAGGCGGATACGGAGAGAGAGGCGGATACGGAAGAGAGGGCGGATACGGAGAAACGAGAAGAGGCGGATACGGAGAGAGGCGGATACGGAGAGAGGCGGATACGGAGAGAGAGGCGGATACGGAGAGAGGCGGATACGGAGAGAGAGGCGGATACGGAGAGAGAGGGAACGGAGAAGAGAGGGATACGGAGAGAGAGGCGGATAGAGAGAGAGGCGGATACGGAGAGAGGCGGATACGGAGAGAGAGGCGGATACGGAGAGAGAGGCGGATACGGAAGAGAGAGGCGGATACGGAGAGAGAGGCGGATACGGAGAGAGGCGGATACGGAGAGAGAGGCGATACGGAGAAAAGGCGGATACGGAGAGAGAGGCGGATACGGAGAGAGAGGCGGATACGGAGAGAGAGGCGGATACGGAGAGAGAGGCGGATACGGAGAGAGAGGCGGATACGGAGAGAGAGGCGGATACGGAGAAAAGAGGCGGATACGGAGAGAGAGGCGATACGGAGAGAGAGGCGGATACGGAGAAGAGGCGGATACGGAGAGAGGCGGATACGGAGAGAGAGGCGGATACGGAGAGAGAGGCGGATACGGAGAGAGAGGCGGATACGGAGAGAGAGAGGCGGATACGGAGAGAGAGAGGCGGATACGGAGAGAGAGAGGCGGATACGGAGACACAGACAGACAGAGACAGACAGATACAGAGACAGAGATACAGAGACAGACTGATACAGAGACAGAGATACAGAGACAGATACGGAGACAGACACAGACAGAGATAGCCAGAATCAATCAGGCAACCAGCCACTCATCCAACCAATCATCCAGCCGGCAGCCAGCCTGCAGGCCTGCCGAATACGCATTACACATGTTCCAGAATTGTTTCTCTTTACTTAGAGCATAGGTTATAGGACATTCTGGCAAGATGACACTACCAGTGGTATTAAAATTGAAAGGATGTGGCACAAATGTTGCACATGGGTTATTATAGAGGTTTTTGATATTTCCTCGACCAGTTGTGGCCACATACATCTCAAGGCCACTAAACTCTGGGTCAACAACACTTTGCTCTTAAAAGGGGAGTGTTAATACGACATGGCATCAGTGAATCCCTGGTGTTTGCTGTGGTCTAGCTGGCGCTTAATTGAACTGGTACTCCCACAAGGTACTAAGTGGTCCCAGATTTTTTAATACTGCAAACACTAAGTGTTAAGACCCATTCTTTACTGACCAGGCATCTCAGGCGAATCATGCCAAATTTGGAGGCAGGAAAAATAAAACGTTGATCTACGTTTGGAGCACTAGCGGTAAGAACATAGATCCATATTTGAACAGTATAAGGGCTAATATAGGATGTAAACTTTTATCTAAATACCCAGTGAGTAGTCATTATGTATATTGGTAATGTATGGAAATGCTTTTATTGGCAGCTACCAATGAGTTGAAATTACATTTAGACATTGTAAACTGATGTAAACTGACTGAAAAATGATATGCTCCTGCATGCATGATATAGCATATACATTCTTGTATTAAAGACATAGACATACATGTTTACATCCTTGTATGTCAGTAAAACTTTTATACTGATGACAGTATATATATTGTACATATGAACACAGATATTTATAATAAATGCATACATAGTTTTTTAATATACAAACAGACAACATTGTATTATGCATTAACTTAACAAAAACTTGATACATAGATATAGAGCTGTGCTGAATTTGTCCAGTCAACCTCGTGTCCTTTCCTCTTCTACTTCTTCTCTCCCAGTTTCCTCTTCTTCCATTTCTCTGCATCTTTCCTCTCTCATTGCTTATCTCTTCTATTCCTATGCCCTCTTTCATATCTATTTCCTTCACTTTTATTTCTTTTCCTCCAGTGTTCTTGTATGCATCTTCTGCTTCCTCAAGGCTTAATGACCCATATGGGTTTAGTTTTTTTTTTTTTTTTTTAGTATTAATATAATCTTCCTTTTCTTCTCCCCCCCCTTTCTCCTTTATCTTCCTTTTCTTATATGGTATTTAATTTTCCTATAATTAGATTATGTAGGTACATATCTAACTTATTGCATATTCCCAAACACTTGCTGACCAACATATTTAAATAAAAGACAAACATTCACCTGAAGACGAGTTTTTCACCTCGATATTTATTTCATATTTAACTTTAGTTGTATACAGGAAGACGGCCGACTTGTTGAAAAAAAAAATATATAATATATATAATTATATATATATATATATATATATATATATATATATATATAATATATATATATATATATATATAAAATATATATATATAATATATATATAATGTGTATATGTATAATATACACACACACGAACATGCATGCACAAAAATGTGTTTTTACACATACAAATATTAAAAGGTTTTTAATTATATATTAATATATACATGAATGTTGGGCTTGAAATTATTTTGGGGGTTGATGCTTAATCAGGAGATTTGTTATCACAGGTAGACTTTCTTACTAGATGATGTACCATGATTGTGTTCTAAAATTTAATTATATATATATATATATACAATAAGTATATACATAATTTATTCCTTTTGTATATACAGTATATAATTATTTTAGGTAACCTGTAAATGCTAATATGTTGCTATTCCATTTTGCCACTAAAGTAAGTGATCCT